TTGGTAAAACAGTAAGTAAGGGAGTATTTGTTTGTTTGTTTGGGGGCATAATGAAGATGTGAATGGGGTGCGGCCTCTGATCAAAATAAACTGCTCAAAACGTTTCAGGGTCCCTGATTAAGAAGTGGAAGACTGATATACCAGAAAAAGCTGCTATCCGGAGAAAAGAACAGGGAAAAAGGCAGTAAATAAGACCTGAGTTCCGTCGTGCTTCTGCCCCTTGGTAGCCCTGTGACAGCGGGCACTGACTCCTGGGAGCTTCAGGTCTTCCATTAGGCAAGTGGGCACAAGAGCAGTCTCCCAACCTCAGAGCGGTGGTGTGAGAATTCAGGGAGAAACCCCCAAGCATTCAGCACAGTACCTCCAGGCATTACACCTGTAGTGCAGGTGGTTTATAAATAGGACCCAGAACTTGATTACATAAATAAGAAAGAAAAATAGAAGAAACTATTTCAGTGAATCTTGATTAACAGGAATGTTCAAAGAATCCGTCCAGTTGACGGACTGCTCTAAACGGAAGAACACTGGCCAGAGAAGAAAACAAAAGCTATACACAGTGTCACTGCAGACGAATGTAACCCAGAGCCTGTAAGGTCCAATGTCATTTTACTGAGGACAGCCAGGAGAAAAACTTGCACACAGCCACACACACAGCTGGATTTGCAGAGGCTCTGAAAAGAAGGCTTGGTGCTATGCACCACCCAGGCTCCAAGTTTGACCTGTTATGGCTTTAGGATTTATTCTCCGCCTACCTCCCAAAGTGATCAGGGGCAGAGTATAGGAAGAGGCACGTACTCAGTAGACTCATTTAAATAAGAATATAAGAGTCAGAGGAGTGCGATGAGGGTGAGGTACCAGCTGAGATCTGTTGCAACTGAAAATACAACTTTGCTCTGGGCAGCATCCAGAGTGAAGGCACAAAAGCAAACTTACAGACTATCCTCAGGCAGAGGAAGAATCACAATCAACCAGGAAAGGTAAATTTTTTTTTTTTTTAAGATGTTGGGGGTAGGAGTTTATTAATTAATTAATTTATTTTTGCTGTGTTGGGTCTTCGTTTCTGTGCGAGGGCTTTCTCTAGTTGTGGCGAGCGGGGGCCACTCTTCATCGCGGTGTGCGGGCCTCTCACTATCGCGGCCTCTCTTGTTGTGGAGCACAGGCTCCAGACGCGCAGGCTCAGTAGTTGTGGCTCACGGGCCCAGTTGCTCCCCGGCATGTGGGATCCTCCCAGACCAGGGCTCGAACCCGTGTCCCCTGCATTAGCAGGCAGATTCTCAACCACTGCGCCACCAGGGAAGCCCAGGAAAGGTAAATTTTTATAGAACTAAACTTGAAATTTTAGCATCAGAAACTGATCATGGGAATCTATGCTTCTGATTCCCTCCCACCTCCCAAACTCCCACCATAAGCTTTAGTGTGTTATTTTCCTCCTTGCAGCTTTGCCAATTACCAGCTGTGTGACCTGGAGCCAATGCCTCACCTCTTGGAATCTCAGTTTCCCCATCCTTTGAAGGGAGGGATGCGCCTATCTATTTATGAAAAGGAATGAAGGAACATTCGCTAGCATTAACTGGGTGCTTGCTAAACATCAAAAGCTTTGTGCACATTATCTCACTGAAATCTCCCAATAACTATATAAGGCCAGTCCCATAAATATTTTACAGAAGAGGTCTCTGAGATTCAGAGAGGTAGAGACAGTTGCCATTGTCACACAGCTAAAAAGCAGAAGAGTCAGAACTCAATTTCATGCTTTTGTGATACAAGGCACAAATTTAACCGTTAGACTTTTCCTGTATATGTCGAGCACCTAACAGTTCCTGGCACATAGTAGGTACTCAACATATCAGTCCCCGTCCTCACTCCTTCCTTTTCTCCTAAAGTAAAATTATGTATGTATGGAAAAATTTATGTCTACTGAAATAATATTAGTATCTTACATTTATATAGCTTCTTTCCTCTAAGGAGATCACGCTACTTAATCTATTTTCTCTGCTAATCTCACCAAAGCTCTAGCTATCATTATGTATTATTTCATTTATTTTACAAATAAGGAGCTAGAAGGCAGAGCTGTTAGGGTGACGTGCCCAGAGTCATATGGAAGTTACTGCCAAAACCAAATAAAAACCTTGGTCCCCTTTACATCTAAATCAGCCTTTATCCTCTCACATGACACAGCCTCCATAATAAAGAACAGATCATTCATTTTTTATCTGGAAAACTACCAAACGTATAATTCAGTGAGGGGCCTCATGACCTTACCACCTTGTCAAAGGGAAGAAAGTATATAAAAAATGAGGTTTGCAGGAGCAGACGGTTTTGGTCCGTCAACTTTCTCTTGGATTACGCCCATTAACCAACATAAAATAATGCAAAATATAATGTAACAGATCCCCGTGTCTTTGGAAATTCAAGTTAAACTCACTGATCTTTCAAACTTATATACAATGCACAAGGGCAATCATTAACTCGTGTGGGGCTGCAGAGGTGCACATTATATCAACAAGCTCTTTGAAAGAAACATATGATCTACAATGGGCCACTCTAAGAAGAATCCAAGTCAGCAACGAGCATTTAGCGGCATAAATTCACAGCATCACTGCATTCTGGAGCTCCAGAAGGGACCTGGCAGACCACTGAGAACAACCCCTCCATCGTGTGCATCAGGAACCCAAGGCTCAGGGAGGTTAAGTGGCTTTTCCAAGATTTCACAGACAGGAGAGCAAGAAGGAAAAGATAAAGCTGCTGACTACTAGCCATTCCACTTGCAAGTCTTGCTTCTGATGTCCATGAGTACACTTGGCACTTTCCAGAATTACCCATCTATATAGAGAGTGCAGGAGAAAAAGCCTGGACTTGGTATCAGAAAAACTCAGGATTCAAATCCTGACTGCTACTAACTGGCCATGTGATCTTCAGCAAGTCTCTTAACTTCTCTGAATTTCAATATTTTCATCTATAAACTATGGGTAAGAGTAAACTCCACAATTAAGCTGCCGGTAATATAAACAAGGGGCCCGGCACTGCCTTGAATTCCACAAAGGCAAACATCAGGTCCACGTACGTCCCCAGCACCCAGCACAGAGGCTGGGACATTACACATCTGTAGAAAATTTGCCAAGCAAATCAATGAACTAACCAAGCAAGCAGGTACTGGACTTGAACTCAGGTTTATTTGCTTCTTAAACACTAGATTATATTGCTCCCAATTAACATGATTTCAAAGCAGAGTGTTAATTCTGACTTACAGAGTACCAAGTACACAATGGAATAAGGAGGCCATTTTCTGGCCATAAAGCGAGAAACAAGTTCAGTGGGAAAGTTCCTGGACGCTCAGTGTTGGTATTAATTCTTGTTGCTAGCATGGGTACATCATGAGGCATTAGAATCAATTAAACCTGGGTTTAGGTCTCAGCTTCAGCATAAGCTGTGTGACCTCAGAGATATTACTTTACCTCTCTGAGGCCTAAATTTCCACACCTGGGGAAAAACCTACTTTACAGAGATTGCGTGACAAATGAGGCAATCTATATAAAGGAATACAGGATGATGTGTGGCACACAATGACTCAACAAGTGTCACACTCCACTTCTCTTCTAGTTATTTGGAAGCTTCATTCATTCATTTCACTTAGGTCTCTGCTCCAACGTCACTTCCTTCCCGAACCTTCCTGCCTACAATAAAACCCCCAACTCTCTCTATCCCCTTAGCCTGCTGATTTTTCTTCATAGTCCTTATCATCACCTGACATTACATTACGTATTTATTTGTTTTTCTTTTTACTGTGCCTACTTGACAATAAAGAAAGCCCTGGGAGGATGGGGACTTCTTGTTGTTTGTTTACTGCGCTATCTCAACAACTAGGAAAGGGCCTGGCATGTAGTTAGTGCTTAATAAATATTTGTTGAGTGACTGAATGAATGAATTCAACACTTATTTGGGACTTGCTAGATGTGAGGCACTGTGTAGGAACAGGGGTTTGGAAACAACTAAGAAATGAGATTACAGAAGGAGAAACTGATTCTGCCTGCTATTGAATCTGAGAAGATTTATATCTCACCTGGACTACTGCAGTGGCCTCCCGACTGTGCGCCCTGCGTCTGCCTTGTCTCCCTACATTCCACTTGTTAATTGGCAGCCAGAGAGACCTCCGAAAAGTCAACATCAGATCATATCACTCCTCTGCTTAAGTGCTTCCAATGGCTTCCCACTACAATGAGAGCACAGCCCACACCCCTCACCACGGCCTGTAACACCTGAAGCACCTCCTCTCACCAGCCCATCACCCCCAGCCCCACTCTTTCCCTCCCTCACTGAGTTTCAGACACAAGGGCTTTCTCTTCATCAAATATACCAAGGTCTTATCATTTCTTTTTTAATTTAAAAATAAACATACATTTTATGCATTTGAAACTCTAAGTTCTATATATTTACGTAATTAACAATATTCTGTTCTTATGCCTAAAATTCTTCAACAAGTGAGGATTGATGGGAAAATGACTCTTCAAGGAACTTGGGTTAGAGATTACAAGTGTCGGGATCTTTCGGACTCCGGGCCTTTGGGCTATCTGTTCACTCTGCCTGGAAAGCTCTTCCCCTAGGCTGGCTCTTCCTCATTATTCAACTGTCAGTAAAAATGTGACTTCCCTTAGAGTCCTCCCCAGCTAAAGCTGTCCCTGCCACCATCACTCTCATGAAGGCACTCTCTACTGGATCACATTGCCTTTTCTTTCCTCACAGCATTTTCACTATTTGGAATGACTTTCTCTATTTATGTGTCCTATCTTCCCAATCAGAATGTAAAATACATGAGGACAAGAACTTTGTCAGATTCACTGCTGCATCTGAATAAGTAAACCGGATCTCAAAAGATGCTGGAGTCTGCCAAGATGAGACGTACAGGTAAAGTACCCTATCAGTATAACAGGATCATGGAGTGTTGGTCTCCTTCCAAAGACAACTGCCCCATTACGTCAAAATATGTGAATTTCAGCCAGACGTACTTGGGAATGGGTACCCGGATTAGCGTCTCTTCCACTTCTGGGTTCAGATTCATTCCACTTTCTCTTATAGCCTTGATAGCTGCAGCTGTACACTGAAAACCAGATCAAAAGGTAAACAGAATTAGTAAATAATTATTACCAGATGCAAGCCCTCCATCGATAACTGGCAACCCATCTTGGCAGAACATGGAAACATTTAGTTCTGTTACCAGTAAGATCAGGAAGTTACATTGGTGTAGAGTGCTTTGATCAAGCTGAATAGCAAACTATGTCCACTCCTGGTACTAGTGTACTGCGGGAGGGAAAAAGCAAAGAGAAAGAAAAAAGAAAAAGAAAACAGCTCTGCTTCTTTGAAAAGATTTCAATGGTTTGAGGCAACACAAATCAAAACCACAATAAATCCTCAAGGGAGGAGGGCTGATCTGTGCAAAGACTGGTGTAAAGACAGCTGAAAGATTTTATACATTAAAAATTCCAGTTGACATTTTACACTCAAAATATACCAGTGCCGATTTGAAATGAGTAAATAAATTTAACTCATTCGCATCTATGCTCACACCAACCTCACTCATGTTTTGGCATGAGCAATGAATCTCTGCTGGTGTGTGCACCAAGAAAGGTAGCGTGAAAGATCTCAACTCAAATCCCAGCTCTGCTAACCATGTGACCCTGGGCAACAAGCTTGACTTCTCTGAGCCTCCATGTTGTAATCTGAGACCCTGCGGTACTGTACCTCAAAGAGGATTAAATGAGGTAACTTGAGCCATGCATCTTGTTCTGTGCCTGGGTGCCTGTAACACCCAGGTAAGGGGCGCTATTATATAAACGTATTCAATAAATGAAGAACGCACAAAACCCCCAAAAAACGACAAGCTGATATCATCACTTAGCTGATGCACTGCTGTCTTTTTTTTTTTTTTTTTTTTTTGTGACTGCACCACGAGGCATGCGGGATGCAGGATCTCACTTCTCTGAACAGGGATCAAACCCATGCCCCCTGCAGTGGAAGCGCAGTCTTAACCATCGCACTGCCAGGGAAGTCCCTCTTTTTTTTTTTTAATTTATTTTATTGAAATATAGTTGTTTTACAATGTTGTGTTAACTTCTGCTGTACAGCAAAGTGATTCAGTCATACATTTTCATATTCTTTTCCATTATGGCTTATTTCAGAATACTGAATATTATTCCCTGATGCACTGCTGTCCTGACATCCTCCAGGGTCTCTTCTGACACAGCCTTGCTCTCTAACGTGCCAGGTGGCACGCTGGTACACTGATTTCCCCAAGTGCCTCATCTTACCTCAAGCAACATTATAACCACACCTGGCTTGCAATCCTAAAGCATAAAAGAAAGCAGTGTGGAAGACAGATAATTTCACTGGCATGACAATGTGGAATTCATGAAAACAAGGCCTCTGACATTTTCACAAGAATTTTAGGTTTGACCAGAGCCAATCCACATTGCTTGGATTCACAGAGCCAATTCCCAGCCTTGAGCTCCTCCCTAGACTTTCTGGTTTAAATAAATGGGGTTTGTTGCACACCTATTTTACTCCCAGGTTTTGTTTTGTTTTTTAAGGGAGTGCCCAAAAACCTCATCCATTTCATTTTTAAATGACCTGAATTCTACAGGGACATGACAGGTTATCATAAGGCCAAAAAGACAAACCGGCATTCCACATGCAGACAGATCATCCCCTCGGGCTACAGAATTTAACAGTGTGTCCACTGCTTAAAACTGTAAATTCTTAAAATGTACCTCTGACCATAGACTACTGGAGCTGGAAGGGACCTTGGACATAACCGGGTACAGTCCCTTCCTTACGAATGCAGAGACCTGCTGGTAAAGGTCACATCCCTCATACAGAGATACAGTCCCTGAAAACCAAGAGCAAGGGAGTGAAGACCTCGTTCATCATGCTTCCAGTTACCACTCCATCCAGCGATGTTACTTTGTCTCTGTTACCTTCCAGATCCCCTAGCTCAATGTATTCAGTAACTGTGGCACAGGGAATTTGATTTTTTTCTAATAGCCAAAAAGAATTTGGAACTAGGTCTGGTGTATAAAGGGTATGGCCAAGGTAAATAAAAGAGCTGGATGAAGAAATGAAATTTTCCTCTGCAAGAAAACTGCCATCTTCCATAATAAAATGAAACACAGATTTCTAAAGTTCACAATAAAAGGAGAATGACCACTTTGAAGGAGCGGCCTGATTTCAAGTCTCCTAACCTTCCTTTTCTGAAGCTTCTCACTGACTGACTGATAACTCAGCTGGATCATCCCACCACCACCACCCTCCTTTCACACTCTGACCCAAGTGTTGCCACACAGCCTTCCCAGGCAAGCAAGGGAGTACCCACTGCTGCTTCCAAGCTGGGCAGGAACTATGTCTCAGTATTTACATATTCCCAGTCCAAGGCTCAGGGCCTAGTGTGTGCTAAGTGCTCAGTAAAAGCTTGTTGAGTAAGTATATTAATGCACTGACTCAGACCTGCTAGAAAAACTCATCTCCTTACTTTTACTTCATGTTTATAACCCCCCCACACAAAAAACCCCCCTTATTTTATACTATTTTATACATGTTCTGTGTCCTTTCACATGCAGAAAAAATGTGAACCAAGAGAGGTTTCATTTGCAAAGGTATCTACTAAAAGAGGTAGTTCTAAAATACTCTAGACATGTATATTTTAGTTTGATATGGAAGGATACAGAAACTCAGGGAATTACAGTCATTTTTCCAACATGACTTCTGAACTACTCGTGGTTCAGACAAAAAGGCACATATTTCTATCGCATTTCCCTCTCCTAGCTTTTACCTCCTCTTTGAAGGGATGCCCACCAGTAGGCTGCTCTCCAGTGATAACACTGACTCACTGGTTGCAGCTGCTTGCAGTACTGGGTCGAGAAAGATCACAGACCCCACCTGGGGTCAGGCAGGCAAGCGTGCTGCAATCAATTAGCAATGTCTGCTATTACTGTTCTTAAACTAATAAATCTAACTCATTCGCGTCTATGTGCGTGTCTACGCTACAGGACAAAAGATGATGAAACTTTTGTAGACAGGTGAACAAATCCTTGACAATCTGGGTTCCAGTCAACAGCTGACTTGCAGGGACTAAAAAAATATTTGTGGAATTAACAAATGGATGGTGAAAGGAGCACAGCCTTTAGAGTCCAACAGACCCATGCTCAAATCTTGGCTTTACCACAACAGCGTGAGCCTGCAGAAGAGATTCTACTTCTCTGAGCCTCAGTTCCCTCATCTATAAAATGGAATAAACTTTAACTTTAAAGAGTATCCATAAAAGCTTTTGCACAGCAAAGGAAACCATAAACAAGGTGGAAAGACAACTCTCAGAATGGGAGAAAATATTTGCAAATGAAGCAACTGACAAAGGATTAATCTCCAAAATTTACAAGCAGCTCATGCAGCTCCATATCAAAAAAAACAAACAACCCAATCCAAAAATGGGCAGAAGACCTAAACAGACATTTCTCCAAAGAACACATACAGATTGCCAACAAACACATGGAAGAATGCTCAACATCATTAATCATTAGAGAAATGCAAATCAAAACTACAGTGAGATATCACCTCACACCAGTCAGAATGGCCATCCTCAAAAAATCTACAAACAATAAATGCTGGAGAGGGTGTGGAGAAAAGGGAACCCTCTTGCACTGTTGGTGGGAATGTAAATTGATACAGACGCTATGGAGAACAGTAAGGAGGTTCCTTAAAAAACTAAAAATAGAATTACCATATGATCCAGCAATCCCACTACTGGGCATATACCCTGAGAAAACCATAATTCAAAAAGAGTCATGTACCACAATGTTCATTGCGGCTCTATTTACAACAGCCAGGACATGGAAGCAACTTAAGTGTCCATCAACAGATGAATGGATAAAGAAGATGTGGCACATATATACAATAGAATATTACTCAGCCATAAAAGGAAACGAAATTGAGTTATTTGTAGTGAGGTGGATGGACCTAGAGGCTGTCATACAGAGTGAAGTAAGTCAGAAAGAGAAAGACAAATACCGTATGCTAACACACATATATGGAATCTAAAAAAAAAAAAAAAAGGTCATGAAGAACCTAGGGACAGGAGGGAATAAAGACGCAGACCTACTAGAGAATGGACCTGAGGACACGGGGAAGGGGAAGGGTAAGCTGGGACAAAGTGAGAGAGTGGCATGGACATATATATATACACTACCAAACGTAAAATAGATAGCTAGTGGGAAGCAGCTGCATAGCACAGGGATATCAGCTCGGTGCTTGGTGACCACCTAGAGGGGTGGGATAGGGAAGGTGGGAGGGAGGGAGATGCAAGAGGGAAGAGATATGGGAATATATGTATAAGTATAGCTGATTCACTTTGTTATAAAGCAGAAACTAACACACCATTGTAAAGCAATTATACTCCAGTAAAGATGTAAAAAAATAAATAAATTAATTAAATAAATAAAAACACTTTTTAATGATAAAGGTAACAATAATAATAATAATAATAAAATAAAGAGTATCCGTGTTGATCACATGAAGCAAAACATGAGAAAGCAGTGCCTGGTCACACCGTAGACGCTCACCACACATTTGCTTTCTTACTGCCACAAGAGCAATAATGGAGCGTGCAGAATTTTTTTTTTATTTGCCTTGTTCAAATCATGCTGTGGTTTTTTTACTCCCTTCTTTTTTTCCAATCATTAACTCTAGCTGCAGGCAAGTTTATGGAAGGCAGCAACTGCATCATTTATCAAGCAGGACACATGCTTAACAAATGCAACGCAGTTTTCTGTCCTTGATGTATCTGAAAAGATTCTGCATGTAAATCTGCATCATGTCTCTAGGGCATGACACAGAAATGCTCAGGTTTGAAAAGAAAGCCAACCGCATATGAAACAGAAAGGAATTATATAAACACAGTGAGGATTAGCTCAGCATTTTGAAGCTATAAACCTGGGTACTGCACGGACAGCTTCTAAACTGGAGGAAGGAAATGTTTAGTTAGAGCTATTTGTTTAATATATACACCAGATGAGATAAAGGAATTCAAAAGACAATGTAACTCACACTTCCTCACTCTGTCCTTGTAAAGAACCTCTCTAGTGAGATGACTGTAAATGTTGTTTTTTCAAAACCCACAGAATTTCAACTTGGAGAAATGGCAAAGATGCTTTGCTTGAAAAATGAAGATATACTCCGACTTCCTAAGAAAAAATTAAGCTGTTAATACCTCCTCCTGCCTCATAAGATGCGCTGGTGGCCAATCAGGTGCTTCTTCTGTGAATGCCATTTGCTATTTAATAACAGGAGTGCTGGCTCTGAAAAGCAATCTGCCTGATGAGGTCTTCAAACTGTGTAATTACGAGGCTATTCCCTAAATTGGCCCGCAGTGCCTGTGGGATTAGATGAGCAAGGCAGAGAGGCCTCAGTGGTTCAGAGGGGCCAGAAAGGGAAAGAGCTGACAGTTCCCTTTTTGTCCATTACTCTGTTCCTCGGTAACACCAGGAATGAGTGTCTCGAGTCTCCCTTCCATCAACCTAATGACAAGTATTCATCCATTTGAGGAAAATTCACTGAGTGCATCCATATGTCAGGCACAGTGTAAGGCACTTGCATAAGTCAGAGCAAGTTAGATATGATTCCTACATTCCAAGCTTACAATCTAGTGAAAGTGAGCTGGAAAATTAAGATGTAAAAAACTGTATAACTATTGATAATGACAAGTACAATGAAGAAAAAGAACTGGGCTGTATAAAAGTGGTAAATGTGGAGGAATAATTGGGATTGGGTAGATTAGGGAAGACTTCCCTGAGAAAGTAATATGTAAGCTCTGATCCAAAACATGAGTAGCAATTAGCCAGACAAGAGTGTTCCGAGCAAAGGAAAGAGCATGTGCAAAGGCCCTGAGGACGCAAAGGGTTTGAGGAGTTGAAAGGCTAGTGTGGCTAGAGCCGTGTGCAAGGGTGACAGTGGCACAAGACTGGAGAATCTGCAGAGACAGGCAGGGGCCATTTCATGCAAAGCCTTCTAGGCCACAGTCATCTTTTATTTAAAGATTACTTGAAGCCACTGATAAACTCGGTGCCTGGGAATGACATAATCCAATAGACATCTTTACAAGTTTGCTCAGGCTGCAGTATAGAGAATAGATTGGTGGAGGAGTGAGTAATACCCCTCACAAATGTGCCTAGCACATCAGCTACAAGAGCCCTCCGATTTGAAACAGCCTGCTCATAGCAAGGGCTTTCTCTTACTCACATCTCTAACCCAGTTTATCAAATCCAGCAGTTTCAACTTTGGTCTCTGTCTTTGGGCTAGAACTACTGAAACAGACCATCGGAATAGGGAGAGACTTCAGATTCCTTTACCTCACATTAACAGGTGAGGAAATGGGAGACCCAGAAAGTGACACAACCTACACAAGGTCAAACAGCCAGCTGGCGGGACAGGTGGGACCAGATTCCAGGTCCTCAAGGATTCCCAACCCAGGTCAATTCTTACTGGGCCAATAAGGAAAAACCCATTTACCTTCCTCAACTAGACTTAAAATCATAGCCTCCAGGTTGCAATGATCTAATGCAACCCACCTTCCAGCCTTGGAAGCACTGTGCTCTGTGCAATATTCTGCAATGGTCAGTTCAGTTTGAAAGGAATGTGAATTCCTGGAAGGTCTGCTCCAAATACTAATGCAAAAGTCACAGACTGGTGGCCCACAGAGCAAACGTGGCCCATTATGTTTTGTCATAGTCTTAAAACAAAACACACAAAAAAGGGAATTAGTTATCAACATTTAACAAAGATCTTACATAAAAATTGGGGTTACTGGCTTCTTCTGTAAACAAACACCTTAACGCCTGGTAATATCTAATTACCAGGCCTGCATTTCTGCCCAGGAAGGATCAGCAATAGCTGGGCAAAGGCTGCTCCCTTCAGACAGGGCACGGGAGCTGAGCTAGTTTACCCCGGCCCTTCCATCACTGCACTGCCACTACCGTTTGTCTTAGATGGGGCCCGTGTCAGTATTCAAATTACTTGCCTGGCCTCTATGGTGTTTGAGTTAAACAGAAAAGGAATTTACAAACAGGAAGAGAGCTTTTCTTATCCTGAAATTCCCATGCCTTCTCTCTTGGTTCTTTCTTATCCTGAAATTCCCATGCCTTCTCTCTTGGTTCATCCCAAACTAGAGGGAACACGTTCTCCTGACTCGACTCAGCCTCCTGCATTCCAAAAGAGACCATGGAGAGGGACCCCTTTAGCAAGCCCACCTTACCTCTGGGAAGCTGGCCATATTCACCAAAATCAGCTGTGGCGACTTCATGGAGATCTGGCCAATCTGGTTTAGAGCAAGTTTCCCATCAGCAGTTACCACAGTGATATGATCAAGGGATCCTAAAAGAAAAATGAAATAAAGGGTCTTCGAATTCAGAAGGACTTTAGTAGCCCCACATCTAAGTCTCTATCAATTCAGATTCAACTAATGTTTACGGATCCCTTACTAATGTGGCAAGATGGTTCAAGGGGCTTCCACAGGAGCAGTGGTGCCATGTGATGGAAAGAGCTTTGAAATGTTGACAAAACTAGGTTGCAACTGCTTACCAGCACCAGGGTAGCCAACAGTCCTGGTCTGCCTGGCCCTGAGCGGTTTCCTGCGACACATGACTTTGAGAGCTGAGACTGGAAAGAGCTGGCCACCCCTCCAGCAACACTGCCATTTACTAACATGAAACCTCAGGCAAGTTAGTCATGTTCTCGGTACCTCGGTTTCCAACTCAATTAAAAAATACTTTACAGGATTAAAGTGAGGATTATAACTAAATATAAACAAGCAAGTACACCATAGGCACCAAAAAATAAACATAAAAATAGTTACCACTTATTAGGCCTTTTAGTTTCACACTAGCCTGTAACACTATCACTGTCTCCACTTGACACCAAAGAACTTGGGGAGGTTAAATGGGCCAAATCACAGAGCTAACGAAAGGAAAAGGAGGAAGAGCCAAGCTCCAACCCAGGTGTGCTTACTTCCAATTCTAATCAAGGCTCTTTCCCTTATCAGTGGAATTCAAATTTGGTTGTGTGTCAGAATCCCCAGGGAGCTTTTTCACGTAGATTCCTCGGCCCCACCCCCAGACAGCCTGATTCTGCAGGGGCTTGGGAGCCTGTGATTTTGGGGGAGCTTGTAGTTTTTTTAAAGATCACCACATGATTCTGACATGCAGCCAGGTTTGGAACTGCTCCCTGATACCACCTTGATTTTGGCACTTAGATTCCCTTTAGGAAGAAAAACAAACAAAAAACATAAAACAAACAAAAAAACCCCACCAACTATTACCACTTCACTGTTATCCTGGATCTGATCTTTGTCTCTATCTGAATTATGGAAAACCCTGGGCAAAATTTTCTTGTCAAGAAGGCAAGTATATAGTTACAGATGGAAAAGGGGTGTTATTCAAACTCCCTGATTTCCTATGCAAATGAAAACTAAAAGGAAACATTACCGTTCACTTTAAGAACCACTCACAGACGGCTCATTCTGATACACAAAGAGTAAAGGGTCGGGGGCTGGAGGTCAATATTTTAAACAAATTGGGAGTTGTCCCAGCAAATTGTTGTTAGAATAATGCAGTACCATACCATGGCCCAAAGATCTGATTGGAAGCACGGCACTCAATTCACCGTCACCAGATAGAAGGCTGTTAACACCACTGGCTTCAATCTGGAAAAGTCCACGGTTCTGAAAACCAGTGACCTGGGTTCAAATACCAACCCTGCCACTTCCTGACTGTGTGACCTTAGGAAGGTCCCTTCAACCTTTTGGGCATCTGTTTCCTGATTTCTAAATGGGGCGTTAAAGTCATACTTCTCTCACAGAGTTGTTATGAGGTTAAATGAAAGAGTTTATGGAAAGCACTTATAATTGTGTCCTGGCATACGTAAGTGCCCAATAAATGCTATTATTATTACTTTTCAACTTTCTCCTGTATTTTAACCAAACTAACCTACTTACAATTTCTCTAATACAGCCTGTTCTCTCTGGCCTCAGGATCCTTCTACTGAGGATGCCCTTCTCTGCTCAGCTAACTCCTGCTCACTCTTTAACACTCAGCTATGATTGTATCTAATCTCAGAAATCCTGTCTGACCTCCTAGGCTGGATTACAAACCCTTTATGAGCTCCCGAGGATCCTATGCACACTTCTACAATAATGGCAACCAATATTTACTGAACACTTCCCATGGCAAGACATAGTGCTAAATGCTCTGTGTAATTTATTTGCTTTCATTATCACAATAACCCTATGAGACAGCGCCACCATTTTACAGATGTGGAAACTGAGGCACAGAGTATAACTTGTCCAAGGTCACAAGAGCTCTTAACAACGGAGCTGAATTCAAACCCAGGTCTGATCAACTCCAAAGCCATGGTCTTCACCACTCTGCTTTGCTATATGGTTTTACACATGTTGGTTTACTTGTCTATCCCTTCACATTAGGATCTAGGCTCTTGGAAGGTGGGGACAATGTCTTTTCTCTCTGTATCTACAGCACCTATTAATCAGCACAGAATAAGTGCTCAATAATGCTTTGATGAATAAATGAATGTACGGATGGATGGATGAATGAATGAGAGGACAAGAATGAACAAAGAAATAAACCTCTCCCGTTGCGGAGCACAGGCTCCGGACGCGCAGGCTCAGCAGCCATGGCTCACGGGCCCAGCCGCTCTGCGGCATGTGGGATCTTCCCGGACCGGGGCACGAACCCGTGTCCCCTGCATCAGCAGGCGGACTCTCAACCACTGCGCCACCAGGGAAGCCCTAGACAACTATTAAAAGCAATCAACTATCTTGGAGACAGAAACTGCTGGTAGATGGACGTGTAAGAGGAAAAGTGTCTGCTGGTTCAGATAGTAATGAAAGATGGTATGGAAGAATCTGGCAAAAAAATAAAATAAAAGACTGGCTAAGTCTTTAGCCAGTCTTTAGCCTGTTTCACCCAAGTCTCTTCATGGCCCAAATTTCTACACAGGACATTGCACAGACATAACCCTGAAGAGAAAGAAGCAAAGAGGAAATACCAATGGGAGGCCTTCTGAAAACGGATCTTAATTCAGCCTTCCTGATTTGCCATAAGATCCTTTGCCACAGAAGTCCCAACATGGGCTTTTCAGTGCACAATTGTGGTGGTTCCCATTCCCTAAATCCGTATCGACATAATGCATCAAATCCTTTTCCCTCAATCTGTCCCCAGCGAGAATCTCCCTCAGCCTCATTCCTGCCCCTCATTTTCGCAGAGGTTAACATTTAACAAATTACACTCCCAACCTCTTTCCAGGCCCATCATCTTTTTAAGTTCAACAAGAGTGGAGCTTGCTGGCTAATTTTAAGTATCACATTTCTCCCTGAGCTCCTCTCAAACTGCTCTCTGGTTTCGGCTGCAGAATGTTAACAGGCCAGAAAGCACAGGGGAGACAAAGCACTTTATCAGCTTCATACCTAAAATAATAAGCAAGTTTAAAATAAACAGTTGGGAGAGATTGAATGGCACGCTCTACTGTCAGCAAAGGCAGGAATGCCCCAGTCCAGGGCTGACAAATGACGGAATGGTCTTCTGGTTTCACACTGGATCTCGTCTCTGAACTCTGTATGTTTCTGCTGGTGTTTATAAATGAAGCCGTATACTTTTCACTTGGTTTTCTTAAGAACAAGTTCACGAAATACTTTCTAGTCTCCTTGTGAGCTGCCCGAGCAAGATGTGAGTGGGAGCAGCGCAAGCTCCCACAGGTACTTTCCGAGGGGGTCCCGGGCTTGACTCTAGGATGATGACAATTTCCAAAAGGCCAATTTAACAGCAATTGGATTTTTCCTGCCTGCCTGCACCATTAGCTGACAACTCACTTCTTCCATCACATCTGCAAACAGTTCTCCTAGACAGTTCTGACATTTCCCACTTAGGAAAGCCACTTTCAGGAAGTTATTAACCCAAACGGAATCTTCCTGGTCAAGCTCAGGGGTACAGAAATGCCTCAGGTGGGCAGGTCTGCAGCCAGTTGGTTCCCAGTAAGCGATAAGAACGGCCAAATAGGACAAATTGGAAAAATCAGACCAAAGATGTCAGTTACTATGAAACTAAATACCTACAAGTGTAGAGAGTACAGCAATAATAAAATTTCCATTTTTTGAGAGTATTATTCCATGAGAGCAAAGACCATACCTATTTTGTTCACTTTATACCAGCACAATGCCTAGTTCATAGCAGGCAAGTATTTGCTAAATGGATAAATGTAGTGTTAATATGTGCTGGGCACTGTGCTAGAACGATTGCACATGTTACCTCATTTATTTACCCATCCCAAAGCTAGAAGGTAGGAATTAGACAAGGAAACTGAAAACCAGAGAAGTAACTGCCCACGGTCACCAATTAGTAAGTGATAAAGCTAGGACTAAAACCCAGCTCTGCCAAAGCGATGTTTTTGCCACTATGCCCCTCTCCAAAACACAGGTTCAGTCACTAACCTGGTGAGGTCCTTATATTGACAGTCTTATTGAAATTATCCTTGAGCGCTTCTATCACCGACTTCATTTCTTCATCCACCTCTTCCAAGCTGATTATATCCTCAACCAAGGCAGTGTTAAGATTCATTCTGGTTTGGGACTGTCCTTTCCCTTTGGCTAGAAAGTCAACATTCAATGAATAAAAAAAAACAGCAGCATAAACAGAGACAATAAACAATGAGTTAAGAAGTACCTACTATGTGCAGGGAAAAAAGCCAAGTGCTAGAAAATTACAGAACATTGTCACTAAGTGTAGGCCCTAAAAAAGAGCCTACACTTACTGTCAACCTGGGACCCAGCATCACACAAAGTACTTTCTCAGATATTAGCGAAGGCACACGTTTTATAATGAGACACCCAGGTGAAAATATGCGCTATAATGCACACGACCTTTATGACCTTGAGCAAGTTACTCTACTTCTCTGATATCAGGTTCCTTTCCTATGAAACAGGAATAATATCTATACTGCCAGGTTGCTGCAAGGACACAAATTAAGTAATTCAAATACCTAAAAGAGCACTATCCACATAGCAGACACTCCATAAGTGAATGAATTCCTTATTTTTCAGAAAAATAAACAGAAGATGAGAAAGGTAGAGTGACTTTGCCTAATGTCACAAGGTCATGAAATAGTAAAGACAAGGTTTGGTCCCAGATGTGCCTAATTTTAAACCCATGAACTTTCCATTAAATTGTCTTCATAAAATGTAATTGGAGATACATAAAATATATTAATTCATTTAAAAATGAATCCTAAGACAAGGATATGCAAAGTACCTGATGGCTGGTACAGACAAAAAAACAACAGTAGCTTAGCAACATTAAACACCGCCGGTAGTAGTGACAATGGCTTATATTTTAGAAAGCAACAATACTGAGAACTGAATAAAATTCTAATTTATATCTAAACCATCATAGCGATTTTTCATATGCATCTATAATGTGTATATGCATACATAGATCACTCCTGTGAGTATTACAAATAGTCTTGCATTTCTTTAAGGAGGGTGTGGGAAGGAGAAAAAGAATAAAAATATTTAAATAATATTATCCTACACTAGTTTATTTATTAAGAATTCAACAAATATTGATTGAGATCATTCACAACAAATTTTATTGAACATCTACAGTGAGCTAGATCCTGAGCTATTTATATACCATATTACAATTTGCAATGCAATTTCAAGTACATTCTTCTTTTAGATATTCAAAGCAGCTCTCTGATTTAGGAAGAACAGAGATTATTATTGTCCCCATTTTACAGATGAGAAATTTGAGGCACAAGCCATTTAAATGTTTTGCCCAAAGTAACCAACCAGTTAGCAGCAGAGTGATTTTTTTTTTTGAACATTTATTTGCTTGTATCACCATCTTGCTTGAAATCTCACTGGTCTTAAGTTAACGGGCTAATGGCTTAGAATTGTCAGAACTGATGAAAGAGGTGAATCATCAGATTTAGAAACACAAGTTCCAAACAGGATAATAAAATTCTAGGTAAATTCACACCTAGACATTTGGTGAATGCAGAAAACCAAGGACAAAGAGATTGTGAAAACAGCCAGAGAAAAGACAAATTATCCATAAAGGATCAAAATTTAGAATAATAGCGACAATAGAAGCTAGAAATAATTTCCAAGAGCAACAACAGAAGCTAGAAACAATGGAAATAATATCTTCAACTTTAGTGTTAAACCAAGTATGCATGTTAAAAATTTTAAGTTATGCCCATCAATAATAGAATGGATAAATATTCTTTATGAATGAAATACTATACAACCATAAGAAGAAAAGATCTACAACTACAAAGAAGAATTTAAATGAATCTCACAAACATGATGTTAAGCAAAGTGGCTAGACACAAGAATCCAGACTGTACAGTGCAAAATCCAGATACAATAACATATACTAAACAGTATAACAGATAAAACTACATCATTAGTAGTTAGAATAATAGTTACCTGCAAAGGGTAGAAGGTGGTGAGTTACTAAAAGGGCACTTTCGACATGCTGGGGATGCTCTGGTTTTTGGTTTGGGTGCTGATTACGTAAGTAAAAATTATATAAGTGAAAATTATCAAGCTTATTATTATTTTCTTATGATAGCTGCACTTTTCCATAGGTGCTTTATTTTTTATTTATTTATTTGTTTGCGGTACGTGGGCCTCTCACTGTTGTGGCCTCTCCCGTTGCGGAGCACAGGCTCCGGACGCTCAGGCTCAGCGGCCATGGCTCACGGGCCCAGCCGCTCCGCGGCATGTGGGATCTTCCCGGACCGGGGCACGAACCCGTGTCCCCTGCATCGGCAGGCGGACTCTCAACCACTGCGCCACCAGGGAAGCCCTAGGTGCTTTATTTTTATAAAAACATAGAAAAGAAATTAAAAGTAACCACCAAAACAATAAGAAATAGAATGTATACCTTCCAAATCAGCAGAGATGAAAAAAGAATAAAGAAACTTGATTAATTCAATAGAAAGGAGAAAAGAAGAAACAAAGAAAACCTCAAAAAAGAGGTAGTACAAAATAATAGAAATACAAGTACCCAGACCAAAGAACCAGTTAAAAGTTAGAGACTCTCAGTAAGATTTTTTTTAATCTAGTCGTATATAATATATACAAGAGATTTTACAAAAATATAAGCTCACAGAAAGTTTAATGTATGGGCATGAGAAAATTATAACCCTAGCAAATATTAATCAAAAGAAAGCTGGTGTAGTTATATTAAGACAAAATTGATTTTACAACAAAATGCATTATTAGAAACAATGAGAAGCACTTCATAAAAACAGAAAAAATTCACCAGAAAGATATACCAATTCTGAGCTTCAAAACTACTTATGGACTGAAGAAAAATGCACAGTGGAATTTTAAAATATTTAAAATGACAATAATAAAAATACTACACAACAAAAACTTGTAGGAAGTACCTAAAGTTGTATTTATAAATTTACAGTCTTAAATGCTTACAAGAAAAGAAGTCGAAAATTAATGAACTAACTGTCTAGCTCAAAGGATATAAAAAGAACAAGAACATGGGAGGAAGTAAACGATATAGAAGTCAATAAAGTTTTAAAAAAGAGAGATCAAAAAAATTAAAAGCTCTTTTTCTAAAAAGGTGTATAAAATTGACAAACTTCTGTCAAAAATAATTGATTAAAAAAGGGAAGTAGGGACTTCCCTGGTGGCACAGTGGTTAAGAATCTGCCTGCCAATGCAGGGGACATGGGTTCGATCCCTGGTCTGGGAAGATCCCACATGCTGCAGAGCAACTAAGCCTATGCGCCACAACTACTGAGCCTGTGCTCTAGAGCCCGCAAGCCACAACTACTGAGCCCACGGGCCACAACTACTGAAGCCCGCACACACCTAGAGCTCATGCTCCGCAACAAGTGAAGCCACAGCAATGAGAAGCCCACGCACCGCAAGGAAGAGTAGCCCCCACTTGATGCAACTAGAGAAAGCCCGCGTGCAGCAACGAAGACACAAGTCAGCCAAAAATAAATTAATTAATTAATTTTTTTAAAAAAGGGAAGTAGACACAAATAAATAATACTAAGAAAGAAAAAGGGGACACAGTCACCAAAACAGTAGAGATTTTAATAATCTTAAGAGACTATTATGGACAACTTTATGCCAAGAACTTCCTATAAACATATAATTTACTAAAACTAACTCAAGAACAAAGAGAAAATTGGGGAGTTCCCTGGTGGCCTAGTGGTTAGGATTCTGGGCTTTCACTGCTGTGGCCTGGGTTCAATCCCTGGTCAGGGAACTGAGACCCTGAAAGCTGCATGGTGCGGCCAAAAAAGAAAAAAAAAAGAAGTATTCCTATTCACCAGCAACCAAATAGAACACACAAGTTTTAAAAAGATATAAACTTAAAACAATGAATCTTGTATAAAATAACACAGAATATATTTATGACCTTAAGGTAGGGGAAATTTTCTTAAAAAGGAAAAAAAGAGCACTACTCAAAAAAGATTGATAAACTGGTCTACATTAAAATTAAGAACTTCTGTTCATTAAAAAAACACTGTGAAAAGGCAATTATTATCAGCAATACATATATATATATGCAGAAGTCTTATCTTTAGAATACATTAAAATTCTTACAAGTCAATTTTTTTAAATGGGCAAAAGACTGGAAAGAGGATATCCAAATAACCAATAAGCAAATTAAAGGTGCTCACCATCATTATTCATCAATGAAATATAAATTAAAACCATAATGAGATATAAATGCACACCCATCAGAATGGCTAAAATTAAAAAGGCTGACCATACCAAGTGTTCACAAGCACACAGTGGGTATTTAGCAAATAGAAAGCTAAAACACTCTGGGAAGGAGTGTAACCTGACATGACTACTTTGGAGAACTGTATGTTCTGAAACTGAACTGAAACTTAATATACGCATAACCGAAGGCTCAGCAATCCTCCTCTTGGTATACACCCAACAGAAAGGCATACATATGGGCATCAAAATGCATGTTCATAGCAGCATTATTTATTTTACCTCAAAACTGGAAGCAATTCAAATATCCATCAACTATAGAAAACACACATAAATCGTGGTATATGCATTCACTGGGGTACTATAAAGAAATAAAAATGTACCAACAACTATTACAGGCAACAACATGGACAAATCTCACATGTAGATTGCTATCAAAAGAAGCCAGGCATGAAAGAATACAGCTTGAGTTCAAAAGGGGCAAAACAAATCTGTGGTGGTAAAGTCAAGACAGTCAAGGGCTGTCTTTTGAAGAGTGACAACTTAAAAGGACATGAGGGAAGCTTCCAGAGTACAAGTGACGTTCTATATCTTAATCTGGGTGATGGTTACATGGTTGTGTTCACTTTGTGAAAATTCACTGAGCCATACACTTACAATGTATGTATGCACTTTTCCGTGTACATCACTCAAAAATTTACTTTAAAAAACATCATATACAAAAGTGACAAAAATGATGATAGCCTAGAAATAAACCTGATTAAAGAACTGTGCAAGATCTTTATGGAGAAAACCTGACAATACAAGTTTCATAGAGAAGAGCAAAAGACCAAGAAGAAGAAAAAGAAAAAGCTAGCGTGTTCTAAGGGGAAATATTTGTACCACTAGATTCAAGACTTGTGATTCAGGCATTAAGGAATTTAGTGCAGGGAGAGATGAGTAGTTCAACACATCAAGAACTCAGATATAAATCATACCTATAAAGAAACCTGACATATGACAGTGGAAGCATTACAAATCTGGGAGTAAAGAAGGGCTACTCAATGAGTGAGGTTGACACACTTATTATCCATTTTAAAAAGAAATAAAATTAGATTCCCTACCTCACATCATATTCAGAAATAAATTCCATATGGATTAAAAACCCAAATGTGGAAAGTAAAAACCTTTAAAAGATTTAGAAGAAAATACAGAAGAATAGCTTTATGACTTTCAGATAGCTGAGGGTTTGTTAAATAAGACAGAAAAAGCACAAATGATAAAAGAAAGAACTGAAAAATATGACTACATTGAAACTTATGTTCAATGAAAGACATCATAAAGTAAAAAGGCAAAGTAGATACTTGCAACATATACAATCAACAAAGGATTAGCATTCCTAATGTAGAAAGAATCCAATAAATCTAAAGGAAAAAGTCAACCAACTTTTTAGGAGGCAATCAAAGAAGACAAAAACTGAATAGCCAATGAAATATGAAAAGACGCTGCTTACACGCTGCAGCTAACGCCTAGTGCACTAGAATACTGCAATGCTGTGGACATCAGGAGACCTGGATTCCAGTTCTGCCACTAACTCGATATGATCATGGGCAAATGTCTTACATATGGACCTCAGTTTCCTCATTTGCAAAATGGTGAGATCTGTGCTTCACTAGGTAATTAGAAGAATTTCTTCACTGGATAATTACAATTCCTTCAACGGATAATTATAAGGATCAAATTAAATTATTAAATGTATGTGAATTTAAAAAAATATAATGCAACTTATAGATCAAAGTTATTAACTGAATATAAGGCTTCTATGCATTAAAGCTCTTTTGGCAACTTGTTAATTTTCCTATTAACAGAAAAGGAAAAGGTCTGCATGAAACCATAAAAGAAAAGCAGTGGGAAAAATATTCAGTAGGGTATTTCAAGCACCATCCTTAGGAGTGGAATCCCTGACCCACCACTGCAAATAGCAGGTCTGCTTGACAATTTTCTGTCACTCATTCATTCCTTCAACAAAATTTTTTGATACATACTATGTGCCAGGCCCTGTTAGTTGCTAAACAAGAAAGACATAGACCTCACAGGGTCCAGTATGGAAGACATAACAAACAATAATTAACTAATTAATGAGTGCTGTGCTTAAGTACATCAAAGGTAAAGTAACAGTGTGCACAAATGCATGTAACAAGGGACCTGACCCAGCCTAAGAGGTCAGGGAAGGCTTCCCTGAGGAAGCGACATTTAAGCTGAGACCTGAGTTGTATCAAGGTCTCATTCTTGGATGACACAAGCCATTAAGATCATCCATCTAAATCCACGGCTCTAATATCTCCTCACCCAACAACCTTCTGCTTTTAATATTATTTCCAACGCAGATCTTCCTATAAGGAGAAGGCAGGTTGATCCCTGCCACAAGTATTCTGATTTGCTTGGCACTTATACCTCTAATTCTAAATCTAAAAGAAATTAGGCATTTTCTGAGCCATAATAACAAAAGAGGCGGCATGGCAATGACAAAACAGGTTCTAATACCAACTCTGTCACTGTGACCTTTTAAGCTAATCAACTGAACCACCTGAGATACCGTTTCCTCATGAGGCATGGGGAGAAATTCAGAACATCTCTGAGATCCCTTCCAGCTATGATAATTCAAGGGCTAAATATAAGACAGGGGTGAGGAGGTCATGCCTCTACCTTTGGCTTTCTTGGTAGCGAAATGACGGATTGGTACAGCTGGATAGGCCAGGTATTGCCCGTGGTCATTCTGTCTTCCACTCACTGTCTTCAGCGTAACTTCTGAAACAGGTCTGGTCAAGGCTGCAAGGAAGTTGCAAAAGGCAGGGTGGACCAAGCGGGAGCACCTTAAACCCAAGGCCATGACTGAAGACAATTCTTGTGAACACCCACTAAAAAGAACAAGACAAAAAGGAGATCAAAGTAGAACAGACCCTATTACAACTTCAGAAAATAATCTGTACCAGTTAGCAAGCAAATCCTCTCAGCAGAGTCTGTCAATCAGTTTTGAGTATGTGCTAGGGAACTTAAATACATTATCTCTAATCCTCCTCCCAACATCTGTACAACTTAATATGATTAGCCCCATTTTATACTACGAAGAAACTGAGGCTCATGGAGATTTAAGTAACTTGCTCACAGTCTGTAGGACTCCAAATCGCCATGCTCTTTCCACTATAGCAAATGCCCCTTAGCACACAGGGAACAGAGTTAAGTAAATGTAGAGCAGACTAAATCCTTGATGATGGTAATTAAACCCTTATAGGAGAAAAGGCACAAAATCTTGATAAAGTTATACTATAAAGAGGAAGGGCAGAGCACTGGAAGAAGACTTTAAACTAAATAAAATCATTTCAACAGGCATGAAATGACTGGAAAATTCACACAACAGCATTTAATTAAAATTTTCTTTGGTTCCTTATGCACCGATTACCAATTAGAATGCACTTTACTGTGAGTCTGAAGCATGGCTGAGGTTTGAGGTCTTCCATGTTATAGAACTAAAGCTCTGGGAAATGCCACCCTCCTTGGTGTTAACACAAGTTACACATTATACTTCTGAGGGCTTTGACCATGAAAGAGATGCTAGAGCCTACAGCTACCTCTGGGATAGAACACAGCTCTAGCTTACTGGCAAATGTAGCATTAATAGCTTCTGCCAGGAATCTGGCTATTATTACTCAGCTAAAAATTAAGCACGATTAGCAGCAAATACCTGGAAGCTACCGTCTTTGAAAAACAGCCCCATGCCTCATTAAAAAAATTAAAACTCTCATCCTAAAATTTTGATGCAGTATAACAGACTGAATAAGAGCATGGGTTTTGCAGCCATAAGACTTGGAATCCAATCCCATCTCCACCACTGACTAAATGCCCCTGAACCTCTCCGCACCTTGATTTCCTCAACTGTAAAATGGAGATAATTATAGTTATTTCCTAGATTTGGGAAGAATAAATAGGTTAATGTAAGTAAAACACTTGGCACAGTCTCTAGCAGACAGGAGTTTCCCAAAAGGGTACCTATTGACAGCTGTCACCTTTCCTTTCAAAGACTTCCATGCCAGGGTCAGACACAACGAAGAAATCGTACATGTCATTACTAAAGTACAAGGAAGCCTAGAGTCAGTCACATCTAGATATAAATTTCAACTTTGGGCAATTCATTCCACTTACTGGGCATCACATTCCCCATTTGCAAAATGAAAAAAATAATCCTGTTCTTAAAGTAAAATGAGATAGTGAATACATATTAAAAACCTAGTAGCGTGCCGGGAATATAGTACCTGTTTAATAAAAGCTGGCTATCACTATCACTATTTTTTTAAAGAAAAGCAAATGAGTTGCACAAAGGCAAATAACTTCTCCCGATGGAATTTTTAATAGCAAGAGATGCTAGATGTCAGTGAACAGTGTGTGGACGTCAGTAAAGACAGAGCTAGATAAGAAAATAAAAAGTTTTTCCCCTTTCACATTATTAATACCTACTATTAATGGAGGTCAGGCCTGGGCCTCCTGCTTTACCCATATTATTCATTTAATCCTCTCAAAAATGCCACAAAGAGAGTATAATAATCTCCTTTTTATAGATGTAGAAGCTGAGGCTCAAAGAGACTGTCACTGACCAAGGGCATGGAGCTAATAGTTCTGCCCTGTAGCAGCAAAACTGTTCACGGAAATGTGCCTCTAAGTGAGGTTTCTATATGTAAGTTTTTGCCTAATAGAGCTAACGCCTAACCCACACTTATATCCAAATATGGCTGTATAATATAGTTGGTTTTTTTTAATCTACAGGGTCTCAATCTGGCTGTTTCACTAAGACAGGTTTCCTGGTGTTCCTGTTGCAGGTCATAATACCAATCCACAAAGCAACAGGAAATCAAAATGGGTTAGAAATAAACAACCTTTGACAGAAAACTCACCCAAAAGCAGACCCAGTACACGTGAACCGGAAGACGACTCTATAAATAAACCACACTGCTGAAATGCTTAAGGCATAGATTTTAATTGCACAGAAGTCAGGAAACTTCAAAGTGGAAGGTCAATAAAGGCAATCCCTTGGACCCTTTACCTTAAGAACATGCATATTAACACCAGTTCAGCAGAGAAGTAAGGTCTAGGAAAGGAACCATTATGGGAGCCCAAGTATTATACAACAAAATGAACCTACACTCAGAAAAAAAAATGCAGCAGGAAATATCTGATCTTTGGATGCGGTCTTGAACTGGAATCTCAGTTTGCCCATTTACTAGCTGTGTGACCTTAGGGAGATCATCAGCCTCTCTGAGCTACAGTTTCCACTGCATCTTTCTCATGGTGATATTAATGAGCCTTTAAAAAGGTAATTATAACAACAATAATGAAACAATAGCTTATAATCATATAGTTATAACTATGTGCCAGAAACAATTCTAAATGATATATTGCATATATTAACTCATTTGACCTTCATGATAACCTAGGAGATATGTACTTATTATTATACTCATCTTACGGATAAAGAAACAGAGGCACAAGATAAATAATTTGCCCAAAATTTTATTTCAGGCACTTTTGTTCCAGAGTCTGTGCTCTGAAACACTATCCTAGATTGTGTACATAAGGCAGTATAATTACTGGCATTATTTTTCCAACTGTTGAAACATTTTTTAAAACTACTTGAAGCACATATTCTTCATCCAAAGTCGAGGTTCTCAAAACTTGAATTTTCCTGTTTTTTCATAGAAGGTGCACTTTAATTTTGTAAAGAAATAGATGAGGAACACAAAATCCTGGTTTATCCACTGTCCCAGCAACCCCTACCAATCCAGCTGTATATTAGCTTATGATCTGTAGACTTTTATAAATGCGGGTGTGCACACACGCAGGCCCTTGTTGTATATAAAATACTTTCATGTGTTACCTGGTTCTCACAGCAACCAGGGTTGTGATAATCACCCACATTTTACAAATAAGCAAATTGATCTTTCATTTCCTTGAATATTCTTCCTGCTCCAGGGTCTTCAAAAATACTGTTGAATCTACTTGGAATGATCTTCCCTCGCCTCTTTAATGAACTACCTCACACTTTTCTTTCAGATTTCAGCTTAAGCATCACTTCCTCAGAGGATGCCTTCCTTGGCTATCTCCTCTAGCCCAATAGGTCAAACGTCCTATAGCCCACTTTCATAGCACCCTGTACTTTTTCATAGCACCTACTTTAACAATACCAGTTAATATTTGTGTAGTTATTTGATTATTGTCTAATTCCCTCCATAAGACTATAAGCAGTACAAGGACTAATCTATGGTTGTCTTGTTCACGGCTGCATCCCCAGTCCCTACCACAGTTCTGAACATAGGAGACACTGTCTATAAAGATTAAGTCCTTCCTCAAGGTCACAATGCCGGCACCAGAACTGAAATCTAGGCCTCAGACAGTAGGTCCTAGGCTCTACTTCCCACTGCTTCCATTATCTCTTGGTTTGCCAGATTTTTCACTTAGAGATAATAGGGCATGTTCTCTAAATTCAGTGCCATGTGAAGGCATTTACAGTATCTGACTCTATGCAGGATCATGTCCCTGGCACAGGCAAAGGAAGGATGAGACACTTTAACAAGTGGAGAAGGAGCTTTTGCCTAAGAGCTAGGAGGGCTGGATTCCAATATTTCTATCTCATCACTCCCTGCCAGCCATCCTTTTTAGATTCATAACTACCCTGTATTCAAAAAGCACTTGTGTAAGCTCTGCTGATGACCTGAGACTTGTATCAAGTCATTTCTTCTACCTAGGTTTTCTTTCCTCAACTATAAAACGAAGGGTCAGACTAGGTTTTCATTCTTTCTAACTATAAAGCTCTCCAAGATTCTGAGAATGCGAGAGAGTGGGGTGACAGGAAAAAGGCATCAAACTTAGAGAAGACCTGGGAAAGAGTGCTGGTTCCAGCACTTCCTAGGTATGTGACCTTTGATAGGTCAAAATCTCTGGGCCTCAATTTCATCTGTAGATGACAATAATATTTATCAGGGTTATCAGGACGATCGAATAAGCTAAGAGCTGCAGAAGCACTTTGCAAATATACAAGGGCTATTCAAATGACAACTGTTTTGCCACTGGGCCGCACAGAGTAATGGTTAAAAGTTGAGGCTTTGGAATTTGGGTGCCATCACTCACTAGCCACGTGACCCGATGAAGTTATTTCTCTGAGCTTCCCTTTCTCCAGCATGGGGGATTAAAAATACCTACTCCCCTGGGAGTAAGGGGCGTGGGTTCGATACTTGGTTGGGGAGCTAAGATCCCACATGCCACGCGGCCAAAATAAATAAAGAGTCTGGACTTAATTCTATTAAAAAAAAAACCTACCCCCAAAAGATTGTTATGAAAATTAAATGCTCCAGCCAGGTGGCAAGCTACTAAGTAGCTGTCCCTATTTAGTAAGCCCCGCCTCCCACCCTGGAAGTTCCTAGCTGATGAGATGAGCCCCGCCCCCAGACTCGCTCAGATCAGCAGGTCCCGCCCCCAGCCGTAAAGGTCAAGCCGGATTCGAATGGACGCGTCCGGGTGTTCAGTCCCCGAGAGATCCTTGAGTAGAGATCTCTGGCACCCGGGCCCCGCGCGCGCCTCGAGGCCGTGCCGAGGCCACTCACCAGCTAGCGCCCAGTCTACTAGGAAGACTCGCACGACCGCAGCGACGGCGGCGGCGCGGGCGTCGTGACGTCACGGGGCGGGGCGGCGGCGCAGGCGTACTGCGTCACGGGTGGCCTGGCAGCTGGCGGCGCTGAGGTGGACGCGTCTAGAGGGTTGTCTGACCGTGGAGTCGGGGCTTTGCTTTGGGGGCATGAGCCGAGGGGACTACGCCGAGGTGACGAGGTGAGTCCGGCCGCGACGCGCCTCTGCATCTTAGCGCCGGCCCCGCGAGGGGCTCCCAGAGGAGGCTGCCCTAGAGAGACGGCTTCTCAGGCCCCGCCCCGGATTGTCCCGCTGCTGGCCCGGAAATAACAATCCGAGTAATGACCCATCGCATCTGGGAATTCGCGGCCAGGGATCGGGAAGCCCGGATTCCAGGCTTGACCCCACCGTTACCGTTAGCTTTTAGGAACAAGTGCCTGCTTCTCTGCTCCTCAGTTTCCCCAAATGACTGTTCGTGGCTTCCAGGGTCGTTGTAGCTCAGCGGGGGAGGGGGGGTGGGCGGGAGCGTTTTGTGAATTCTGTGAATATAAGAGGTTGTCGCCATTGCGAACCCAAAGGATTCTGATTGTCATATGGCATCCTGATCACTTACCACACCTTACCGTTCCTCAAAAAGTGCTGTGCCGAGCTGTCACGTGTATTGTCATATTTAAGCATCATAACAACCCTTGAGATAGGGATAATTATGCCCTTTGTAGGACGGAGGAAGAAACTGAGGCTCCGAGTGGGGAAGTGGCTTGTTTCATTCATTCATTCAGTAAATACTGAGTACCAGCCAGGAGCTATGCAGTGTACTAAGTGCCGGGAATAGAATCATCAAAATCGGTAAGGCCCTGCCCTCCAGTAACTTACATTCTAGTGAGGGAAACAGAAGATAAACTAGTATGTGATACATTGAGCTGGTATTATGTGGAAAGAAAAAGGTAGCTGTCATAGAGACTAACAAGATGCTCTGCTCTATTAGGGAAAGCTTTTCTGAGGAGGGGACACTTAAGGGGCAATCATGAGTTTCTAAAGTCACAAAATAACTGGGTGCAAAAGCCAGGATTTGAGTGTCTCTCTTTTGGCCCCATATCCTGCACTCTTCCCACTAAAAATGGTTCCCTCGTGTGATACTATTTCCTGTTGGTATTAGTATCAGAAGGTTTTATCATGCAAGTCTCATCTCAAATGTCATCTCCTATAGGTCTTCCCTTTCCACTAATTCTAAAGTAGCCCATCCCTAGACTTTGTCAAATCTCCTTGCTTAACTGTGTTTGCGGCACTTATCACAAATTACATCTTGATTATTTATTTTCCTTTTGTCTTGTCCTGCCCCTCTTCCAAATATAAGCATGCATAGGGCAGAGACCTTGCTTGTTCACTGCTCTGTCCCCAGTACCTAGACACTGCCTGGAAAATAGAGGCTCTATAAAAATTTTTTGAATGAATGATCTGTAAGTAGAAGGAAAGGACAGGAAAGGACAAAATATTTCGCCTCTCCAGTTTCCACACCTGGGATTCTAGTTATGCCTGTTTTACCTTTCTCCCAGGAAGCAGGAGCAAGAGCTATGGCTTGTTCATCTCTCTATTTTCAGCACATAGCCCAGGGCTTAGCGGTTATTAGTTGCTTGTCTCACATTATGGAACAGATTGAACATGTGAATGAGAGAGGAAGAAAAATACCCTCATGTGTGGAGGTAGATAAACACATTTAACAAACAATTACCTTAGGGGCTGCTATGTGCTAGCCTGTATAAGCTGTGCTGAGTTGAATAAGAGGTAATGGCAGTGTTCAGTATATCAGCTGTTGTTATTAAGACGCAGTTCCTGCAACACTGATCTCGGAGGCACTTCTGGTTTTACAGGACATGTTTTCTGTAGCAGGGAGTTCTAAAGTCTGTCACAGCCTGCCATCTTCCCAGCCCTTTTATTTTTCTTCCTCTACCACATCATACATTAAAGCTTTATTTTACATCTGTTGTGTCATTTTTGGTCTTCTCAGCAACTCTAAGTTATAAGCAGGGCAAGGTTTATTATGTAGAGGTGAGGAGACTGAAGCTAAGAGTGAAGTGACTTCCAATGGAAATGCCAAAATTTGAAACCAGGCCTTCTGACCGCAAGGTTTTTGGTCTTTACATTACTGTCTCCATCGTAACCCTCATCCTCCTTTTGTGGCTGTGATATGAGACGTTTCAGGAACTAAGTCGGTAATAGTTTAAGCTAAAATTAATTGAATGCTTCTTAGGTGCCATGCATTTATTGTTCTTAATGTTTTTGGTGTATTAACTCAGTGGATCTGCATAGCTCTTTATTACCCCTATTTTACAAATGAGGAAACTGAGACAGAGTGGTTAAGTAACTTGCCCACCGTTACAGAACTAGTAAATAATGGAACTGGAATAACTACGGAGCAAGTTAGTCTCTTCTTCCCAGTGTCTCCCAAAATATTAGACATGATAATAGCTAATTGATTACTTACTATTGTTCTTCCCCACCCATACCCTTAAGTGTCATTAAGACTCACTTTCTGGTGGTTTCCAAGGCTTATTTTGGGTGACGGTTGTTGAACTGGAGTATCATGTAGTAGTAGAGACTTTGGCCTCCTGCCCAGTCAGCCTCTGGCTTCAGAAGAGAAAAACTAGTTTCTACACACAGAACCACCCCCCTTTCACCTTAAATGGAAGCTTTTGCTCTCTGGCTGCCGGAGGAGCTGTCCCAAGGGAACTGGTGCTGGGGCCCTGTTTGTGGAATAACTGAAGCCTTTGAAGGACTGCCCAGGGCATGCCCTCCTTGGATAAATGTTTGTTGAATTGAATTTGAAGTCTCATGTTCACAACATGTTGCTCCTTTCCTGTCTGAATATTCACATTTCCTTTAGTATTTCATAGAGATTGATGGAAGCAGAAACCAAAACTCTTCCCCTGGAGAATGCATCCATCCTTTCAGAGGGTTCCCTACAGGAAGGGCACCGGTTATGGATTGGCAACCTGGACCCCAAAATCACAGAGTGAGTCTAATATATTTTAATTCATTACCTACAGAATTGGGATGCTTGTGGTGAGGGTGTTCAGAAGAATTTTCAAGGGACATAGGCTATATTTTGGCCCTTTTATTTATGTTTTAATTATCTTTGAAGGGAATATGTTGTTTTAGCGTGTCATCTTGTCATTTTTCTTACATTTGGACTCTTCTACTGCATAGACACAGACTTGGATACCCTTTAAACCATATATTACTTGTTTTTCCTGCTTGCCTAAGATGTTCTCCTAATTTTCAACTATTTCAAATCCTTGTACCCAGTGACTAGGAAATTATTTCCTAAAACCAGCCATGGGCATACTTTCGTTCCCCAAAATGAAGGAACAAACAGAAGAAGTATCAGTATTTTCACAAAAAGGCAGAGAGGTACCACTTGGCTCTAATTCATGTTAAGCAGCCATGGAACCAAGGAAAGTCAGAAGGAATCTTAGAGATACCCCAGTCACTTTGGTTTTCATTCATTCATTAAATGATTTGAGTGCCTACTCTGTGCCAAGTGCCATGCTAGGCAATTTTCAAAGTTTCTAAATCTGAGGAGCCTTGTCTTATTAAAGTACAGAGCCTAGATATAAAATAAAAGCTCAGAGTTGCTCTGATTAAAGGAAGGACAAGGTGTACCCAGTGCCTTTGGGCTGCAGTCACCCTTTCTTTGGCAATCACTTACAGGACTCGTGGAGCACCCTTGAAAGACTCTGATATATTCCAGCTGTTTTATCCTACAGCAGAGGAAACTGAAGCCCAAGAGATAGAAGTGCCTTGTCCATGGTGACAAAGCTAATTGAATTGTCTTGACTCCCCACTCTTTCCTTTGTGGATATTATAGTGGAGTGAAATTTCTTAACAGAGAGAATTGAGAGGTTTTTCCTTCCCCCAGTCGTTCGGTAGGGGCAGGTGGTGGTTGGTGGCAGGATAGCCAAGCGTGGGTGGATTGAGCCATTTGGGGTCAACGCTTGAAGCAAGCATGGGTTACAGCCTCAGTCCTAGAAGTTACTCCCTGTGGAATAGTGTTAAAAGCAAGGAGAGAGGAAACAAAGGAATCTGCTTAGAGGAGGTGTATAACAGGGTTGGGATTATGAGAGAGGAAAGAGATGTAAACTAACATATCAGGATCATGACAGAATGTTCAGTTCCTTAAACCTGCTCAGGCTCAAATTGGCTAAGTGTAGACACCGTTGGGTCCCTCTAGAAATTATGATGGTATTTAAGGTGTGTTGCCCCCTAATTATGTTACCTTGATCACGAGGGCCCTTAAATATAGACTGTGCATTTATTTTGGCTCTCTTTATGACTTACGGCTTTGAGGATGAATGTGTGAACCTGCCCAAGCTCTCAGTTAATGAGGGAATTAAACAGAGAAGCTGTTTCCATCATCTATAACCCAGGCTGTGAGAGGATGCTTCCAAGAGTGGTTTCCATTCCCACCTCTTCTTGTCTGAATGGAAATCTGGAGTGTGGAAACAATGTTCATTGTTTTAGCTGGGGTTCCCTGTAATGATATTCTTGTTATAATTGTATCCTGCTGCTTGACAGGAAGGTTCAAATGGGCATCTGCCACCTCAGTTTATGTCATAAGTGGGAGTATGTGGATGTTTTCTTTAGTTAGAGCATTAACAGGAACATTGAATCAAAAACTCTCCCACTGGTATCTCTGCTCTTCTCATACCAGGACAAAGGTAGACATCCAGTACTAGACTACAGATCAGGGCCTTGCTGGCTCCACCTGTGACTTACCACCTCTGTATTACCAGAGATCATTTCTACTGTATTTCATCTATGGATTCCTTATCTTAAAATATTTTCTCGATAAACAAACTGATTTATTAAATTTCTTCTTAATGACATAACTACCAGTTGTAGCTTATGGTTAGCATGAAATGCATAGTGTTACTTCATTTAATTTACTTAATTACAGCAAAGAAACCTAACATTATAGTAAGGTAGGTCTCATCTTGTAGAAATATGTGGTTTTCTTCCAAGTTTTTGAAGTACATAAACTTCTAGATCCTGTTCCTTTCAAGATGTAGGTAACGATGGACCTAGACTAATTATTAAAA